AGATTTAGAAGGAGTTACCCACAAAGTTTTCTGCAACAGCCCGGTTTGTGGTATTTGTAAAAGGCTTAAGGGAATTGATTTGACTACCTACGCCACCAAAGTGCACTTACCTTTTCGAGAGCACATCTAGAGAGAACTGCAGAGTTAAGCGTGCTTGAGCTGGAGTAATCAAAGGATGGGTGACCTATCGGGAAGTGATTTGCGACACCGTGTAAGTGAGGCCAAAGCACGGGGAAAGGTCGGGCGGTGATTGCAGGGTCAGTAAACATGACTCTAGAGCCTTGGAAAATTAATGGACCGACCATTAGAACGGGGGCCCACGGGCCGAGAGAGCGGACGTGGGTGGCCCATTAACCGTGGGCGGTCGGGGCGTTACAAGTGGTATCAGAGCCAAACCCCAACGACTGTAGAGTCAGTGAGGGCTCACACTAACATGGGTAACGATCTTGGGGCGCAACAGGAACATTGCGTTCTTTGAGAGGGGGTGAATTGTAACTTCCCGGTTTGTGGTATTTGTAAAAGGCTTAAGAGAATTGATTTGACTACCTATGTCACCAAAGTGCACTTACCTTTTCGTGAGCACATCTAGAGAGAACTCCAGAGTTAAGCGTGTTTGAGCTGGAGTAATCAAATGATGGGTGACCTATCGGGAAGTGATTTGCGATACCGTGTAAGTGAGGCCAAAGCGCAGGGAAAGGTCGGGTGGTGATTGCAGGGTCAGTAAACATGACTCTAGAGCCTTGAAAAATTAACGGACCGACCGTTGGAACGGGATGGGACCCACGGGCCGAGAGAGCGAACGTGGGTGGCCCATTAACCATGGCGGTCGGGACGTTACATTTTCTTTGATATTCAGATCATTGGTTCTCCTGCAGGTTCATAAAGTTTCCTCATTATTTCTAAATTTTTACCAAAAAGTCTGAAACTTTTGTTAAGTGAATCAGATGGTTGGTTAAGGAGGATTCCAGTTCAGGGTTTGGTCTCATTTTCTTATACAAATTAGTTGATGCTTTGTTGATTTTGAAAACGTTTTATGTCTCTAAGTGGCAATGTAACTGTTTGCTTGAAGCTTACAACTCTTTGTACAGCTCATGCTAAAAGAGTGAGCTTTATGCACATGTCTTTAATGTATAGAGAGGATTCTCATACGGATTTTTGGAAAGATAGTTCCTAAAAATGCAGGTACAGTTTCAAGTCGAGAGTGATGGAACATCTTCACATTTTCTCTCTGAGGTGTTTTCCCTAACATATCCATAATTTTTCTTCTTTGCAGAAAACTTTCGAGCACTTTGCACGGGTAGCCAAGTAGCTTCTGTTTCCCCACTTTAACACTCATGGTCTTTTAAATCTTTTGAGACAAGAGTGTCTTTAGCGTTTGATGTTTATCTTTCTTCGTGTGCAGGAGAGAGAGGAGTTGGGAACATGGAGAAACCTCTTTATTTCAAAGGAAGCAGCTTCCATAGGATCATTCCTAGCTTCATGATTCAGGGTGGAGATTTCACACGAGGCGATGGACGAGGTGAAGAGTCGATATATGGTGATAAGTTTGTTGATGCGAACTTCAAACTCTAACACACCGGGCCATGAGTCTTATCAATCGCAAAATCGGGACCAGACTCCAATGGTTCAGTTCTTCATCACAACCGTCACCACGAGTTGGTAAGTAGGCTTGATGATTTTGTTTTCTACATTATTATGTGATTATGAGGATCTTTGATCGTTGTTGCGTGTTTTAGATTAAGGTTGGACGGACATCACGTTTTGTTTGGGAAGGTATTGTTAGGGATGGATGTAGTGTGCAAGATCGAAGCTCAAGGACAAAGCAGTGTAGAGCCCAAAGGAAAAGTTGTCATTTTGGACAGGGAGAAGTTTCTTTGTAAATTATCTTTCTTCCACTTTAAGAAACTCCAAGATCAAACCATATGTATGTTTTTCATTGTTATGAACACAGATAATGTGTAACACTCTATCATCCCATGTTTTAAGAACTTAACTTAACCGGAAAAGTATTAGGTTATGAGTCTATATGGTTTGATAGGATTCAGCTAGATTCAACCAAATCCGTTTGAGTTCAATTATAGAAAAATATAATTAAATTTAAATATGTGTTTGTTATTTTTGGTAAATTTTACAAATATAATAAGATTTAGTTATAAATGTTTTCAACAGAAATAAATATGGAATCAAATTTAAATACAAAGCAAATCAAAATGAAATAGAAAAATAATATTTTGACTTCAAATATAAAAATACTATTTTAATTTTAAATATTTATCACAGTAAATTACGATAATAGAAAAAAATGAATATAATGAAACATAAAAAGCTTTTATTTGTAAGATTTTTCTAAAAACAAATATAACAAAATTTATTTTTATAGTAAACTAGGGTCAGCATGCGCTACGCTCAGGATATACTTTACATATGATATATGTAACTATATAATTGATATATTTTACATGTGATGTATGTAACCTAATGTTGTTCGTTAATTTTGTTAATATAACAAAAAATCTTTCTACACTATCACATTTAAACCTAACTTAACAAATTTTTAAGAATTTGTTATATATTATATCAAGAATTAAACAATCCATATCATATGTTACGCCATTCAATCTAGATTAAAAAATTAAATAACCAATACCTACCAAGAATAAAAAATATATCAACCATTAATCAAATTTCCATATCACAAGCACTAAAACACTATAAAGACTGCTAACATTACATCGATCTGGATATTTAAAAAAAATGTACTCGCAAAATTAATAACACAGACACACAAATAAGTAGAATTTACAAAGACACATTTGTTGCACTATAGAGCCCCCTTCCCTTCCCCCCCTACCCTTCCATAAACATATGATAATTTAGTGTCAGAAGCAGTAAAATACCAAAATATATATGTATATATCCATAAACAAACCAAACTAAGTTATATTACATATAATCCGACCTCTCTAAAATTTTATAAAATACAAAAAAACATCATTATACACATCTTTACACTGCAAATCTATAATACAAACCACAAAACCATACATAAATTCATATCTTTACAATGCAAATCTATAATACAAACCACAAAACCATACATAAATTCATGAAGTATACCCTGTCCGTAGGACGGGCCGATCTTAGTTTCATATATATTAACCACTTACAAGATAGTATTAGCCATTTCTAGATAATTAAGAAAATGACAGGAAATAAATAACTTAACATAAAATAAGAATAAATATTAAATGTTGTTGACCAAAAAAAAAGAGAAAAAAAAAAACAATTTCCATTAAATAGGTGGGGTAGTATCTTTACTTTGTCGGAAATCACATTTGTTAACCTAAAAAGCTTATATTTTTTTACACTAAACCTCATTTATTAACTTAAAATTTGTTAAGTTAGTTAAGATTCTTTGTCGGAAATCAATATTTTGGTGTATCTTGTGCAAGATTTATGGAAACAAATAAAATAGTTCTGCAAAAAGAATAAGTTTTTGAACTAAATTTCTAATTGTTATAAGAATTTTTTGCAATTATTTGCGAAGTGATTTTCCGCAATAGAGCTCTTACGTTAAAAGTTAGACTGGTTAATATTGTTTATACCCTTAATAAATAATAAAAAAATTCAATATATAACTAAACATAAGTAAAAAATGAATTTAAATGATTATAGATTTATCTTTATCTAAAACTATTTTATATTGGGTTATAAAGTCTCTATTAACCTTGAAAAATAATTATCTTTGTTAATATATAAATAATTATAAATTAAAAACGAATTTCATTTATTTGATAATTATCCTTATTTAAAAAATTTATATTATTTTATAAAGTCTCTATCAACCTTGTCTATACTATTATTTGCAGTGATTTTTCGCAATGAAGCTCTTACGTTTAAAGTTAGACTGGTTAATATCGTTTATACCCTTAATGAATAATTAAAAATTTCAATATATAACTAAGCATAAGTAAAAAACAAATTTCAATGATTATAGATTTATCTTTATCTAAAAATATTTTATATTGGGTTATAAAGTCTTTATTAACCTTGAAAAATAATTATATTTGTTAATATATAAATAATTATAAATTAAAAATGAATTTCATTTATTTGATAATTATCCTTATTTAAAAAAATATTATATTATTTTATAAAGTCTCTATCGACCTTGAAAAAATAATTATATTTGTTAATATATAATTAATTCTAATTAAAAACAAATTTCATGAATTTGATAATTCTCCTTATCTAATTTTTTATATTGTGATATAAAGTCTTTATTAACCTTTAAAATAATTATATTTGTTAATATATATTTAATTATGAAAAAGTTAATTCGCAAAGAATTTATGTATAGATAATTTATTATTGTGTTATCCATAACATTACTAAAGATAGTTTTATTATACTTCTTTTTGTTGTGTCTAAAAACGATATTAATTTATTACTAAATATTTTAAATTTGTGAGTATTTTCACATTTAATTTGTGTAATGACAATTATTTATATGATGATGAAAAATTTTATATACAGAAAGAATTTGTTTAGATTATTATTAAATAATTTAAGTGTATGAACAATAATTTATTTTAATTTAATTTAATTGATTAGATATTTGTTTATAGATATTAGTAAAATTATTAAGCCCGCAAGTGCATGCAAAACACCTAGTTTCTAATTGTTGTAAGAATTTTTTGCAATTTTTTTTAGGGTTAGTGCAAATGTTCCTCTTTTTTTTTCTTTTTTTTGAAGGAAGTCATACTCAAAGGTTCCTCTTGCACCATCAAATAATAAATGTTATAGGAATTATATTTGGTTTTCGACCAAAGGTTTATGGGACAGTGAAGATATTAAACCATCTGAGTTCTTAGACTTTCTTTTATTTTTTACTTTTTTTGAGAAAGGACTTATCTGAGATCTTAGACTTTCAATAAAATTAATAAAAGTTAAGAGACTTTCGATGTGGAACTTGCCCCACGTAGTTATAACCTAGGTCTCGCCTAGTGTATGTATATATACTCAGCCTAGACATGGTGTACCTTTGTATCTTATTTTGAATCAATCAACAATGTCCGCACTCATGAGGTAAGTGCACCAAAGCTTTATACTATATGTTTACTAATTTATTTATATAATTAGCCATCCGGACTAACATAATATATATACAGCAGATTGGATGGTAAGATCGCTATTATAACAGGTGGAGCCAGTGGGATTGGAGCTGAATCCGCTAGGCTGTTCACCGAGCATGGAGCCAAGGTGGTCATCGTTGACTTACAAGAAGAGCTTGGTCAGAAAGTGGCCTCGTCTATCGGACCAGACAAAGCATGTTTTTACCGTTGCGACATAACAGACGAGACACAAGTGGAGAACGCCGTTAAGTTCACGGTCGAAAAATATGGAAAGCTTGATGTCCTGTTTAGTAACGCCGGTGTCATGGAACAGCCAGGAAGCATCCTCGACTTGGATCTCAAACAGTTTGACCGGACAATTGCAGTCAACGTCCGCGGCCCGGCAGCGTTTATCAAACATGCAGCCCGTGCGATGGTGGAGAAGGGCACGCGTGGGTCAATAGTATGTACGACGAGCGTAGCGGCGGAGATCGGTGGTCCTGGACCTCACGTGTACACCGCGTCTAAGCACGCACTTGTAGGGCTGATAAGAACGGCATGCGGCGGGCTGGGGAAGTACGGGATAAGAGTCAACGGCGTTGCACCGTACTGTGTGGCGACGGGGATAAATAGCCGTGACGAGGAAACGGCGAAGATGGTGGAGGACTATTGCGCCGCCACAGGGATAGTCAAAGGTGTGGTGCTCAAGGCTAGCCATGTGGCTCAAGCAGCTTTGTTTTTGGCGTCGGATGATTCAGCTTACGTTAGCGGGCAGAATCTGGCAGTCGATGGTGGTTACACCGTGGTTAAGCCCATGTGAAGAAATTAATAAAAATATGTTTCTTTGGCCGCAGGCTCTTTCGTTTTGAATAATTCTGTATTGTCTCCCATATCTATTCGGTATAATTATTGTTACTTGAAATAAAATTCCGTGTAATATCATGCCCAATGCTATATTAAAAAGAAAAAAATATCATGCCCAGTGCTTTTTTTTTTAACTTCTGATAACATTTTTCAAATACAAATCACAGAGAAACACCAAACCCACCCGTGAAATGAGTAGACACAGCAATACGACAAAGACAAAATCTTACAGGAAGGTGAATGGTCTTGTCTGGCGCTTCACTAAAGAGCCAATGATGGACCCAATTGATAAGTTAAAGTTATAATAATATTGGACGCTTCACAAAGGAGAGACGATGATGGACCCAACTGATTACTTAATATAATAATAGTTTTAAAAACTTATACAAGACTTTTGTAAGAAAAATACTTACAAGAGAGTAACTATATTTCTCGTACCAAATTTTAGCAAAAAAAAAAAAAATCTATTTTCTGGTCCCATTATTATAACGGAGAACTATGTATATTATAGGGCTGTAAATTTTATCCATAAATTTTAATTTAATTCGTTGCTATTTATTTTGATTCGATTATAAAAATTCGGATGCCCGTAAGTTTTTGAAGCAAAAAAAAATATGAAAAATTAATATTCATTAAAACGTACCAAATAATAAATATTAAAAAATTATATTCAGATATTTGATCCGTTCTGATTTTTATACAAATAGATGTATATATACAATTAAATGTATATTTTTATATCATTTAATATATAATTTTATTATTATATTTATTAAATTACTTATAAAAGTATTAAATTAAGAAAGGGAATCTTTTTATAAAACTATAATTTTCTAAAATTTTATGTTTTATTAAACATTAACTAATTTTAAAAATTTATGAAACATACAGTTTCACTATTCTTTTTAAAAGAAAATGTATTTTTTAAAAACAAATATATATAGTTTTTCTTAAATTATTTATAGTGAACAAAATAAATAAGATATCCGCAAATAGTATATAGAATGAGCAGCGTTTATCAAACATGCAGCGCGTGCAATGGTGGAGAAGCGCACGCATGGGTTAATTTAATAGTAGGTACGGCGGAGATCGGTGGTCCTGGACCTCACGCATACACGGCGTCTAAGCACGCACTTGTAGGGCTGACAAGAAAAGCATGTGATGGGCTGGGAAGGTACGGGGATAAATAGCCGTGACGAGGAAACGGCGAAGATGGGGGAGAACTATTGCGCCGCCACAGGGATAGTCAAAGGTGTGGTGCTCAAGGCTAGCCACGTGGTGCAAGCACCTTTGTTTCTCGCGTCGGATTATTCAGCTTACGTTAGTGGGCATAATCTGGCGGTCGATGGTGGTTACACCGTGGTTTAATAAAAACTAGATTTTGACCCGCGCTTAAAAGCACGAAAATTTTTTATGATTAAAAATTTATATAATTGGTTTTTTTTCTTAATTTAAAGAATATTTTGATATAAATCAATTCAACAAAATTTGTGATGATGATTGTTTTCAATTAGTTTTAGTTTTACTTTTTATTTTTAGATTTTGGTTTTTGGTTTTTAGTTTTTAAATTTCTACTTTTCATTTTCAATTTTTTTTTGGGTATTTAATTTTTAAACCCGCTAAGTTAGTTTGAACTGATATTACCAACAAACAAATCTCAAATAATCGAACATCAAATGTAAAACTAAAAAGATGAAAACAAATTTTTTTAAAAAAATTTGAAATAGTTTATTTTCTAGATAAACAAAGCAAAAAAAATAATATGTGTTTTCATCTTTTGATTTTGGATTTTAGTTTTTAGATTTGGTTTTTGGTTTTGCTTTACATTTTTTTAATCAGTAAATTATTTAAGAAAAATAAAACCATAAATTATTTAAAATTTACAATTGAAATTTATCAAAACAAAGTGATTGTTATTTAAAATAAAAATATATTAACATGTTTTAAAGTACATGATTTAAATAAATGATTAATAATAGATAATTTTGTTTTGTTAAAAATATTAAATACCTTTTGGGTCTAAAAATAATAATTGATTTTTTGATCTTTTAAGGTGAAAAGTTTATTCAATGTTTTTTGGAGTTTTTTCTTAATACTAAGCCCAAAAATTAAACTATATAATTTGTTCAAAAAATAAAAGTAAGCCCAAGACTATATTCCATAAATAACCACTGGTTTAATTTAAGTATAATTAGTAGATTTCCATATTCCATATTTTGATGATATATATTCTTTTAGAATATTCCATATTTGTAGGAGAAAATATGTGTATTCGGTATACACATAGATATCTGCTGTATTTTGAAGGTAATTTACATTAATGTCGTCTTTTTACATTAATTGTGTTGGTTTAATTTAAGTAAATACGGTTCAATCAATTATATGACTTATATTATTTGTAACATTCTAGAAATGGTCAAAATTTAAATAACAACTTGTATCAGTAGATAAAAATAATGACTCTATTTTAATAGAATAGATATTTTTTATTTGGCCTCCTTTTTTTTTGAAAGCAAGATAGCTTCATTCGCAGACTTTCGTTTTGAATAATTATGTATTGTCTCCCATATCTATTCGGTATAATTTAGGAAAATTTGCCAATAAGGGACAAAAAAACACACTTATTGTCTCCTTAGAATAAATATAATTTTTAATGTCCCCTTAGTACAAATTATAAGGAAAACCCAATTTAGTCCTTCGTATTTAGATTTATAAATATAATTAAAATGTAAAAACATAAAAATAAGGATTAAAATAGGTATAATATGATATTAGTAAATTAAAAAAAAATTTCTAAATCCCTTAACACAATCGTCTCCAACATTCTTCATCGAAGTTCATGAAGGCGATTCCCATGTTCACCATCAACGTGGTCTCTCCGGCGCGTCTTGGTTCCCCGGCGAACTCTAAGTCTCCATCATCATGTATGCTTCTCCACTCTCTATCATGGCTCTCATCTCTCTCTATTTACCCTCCATGGTAACGGGAGAAAACTCTTCTGTGGTATCGCAGCTACTGTGTTCTCCATCATCATGTACGCTTCTCCACTCTCTATCATGGCTCTCATGCTGTTCTATTATTACGACGTGTTCAAATGGTATGACACTGAGGCAAGAGTATGGAGGCAGATGAAGGGTTTGAAAGGACTGCCTAAGTTTGCCAGTTATGGTTGTGTTAAACTGGCGGATTATGGTGGAAAGATGGCGGTTTTGTGGGATAAGTATTTGCCTTCTAGTGGATATAAGAAGAAGACGATTTGGTGTGCTGTGATTTCACTTGAAAGGCCCAACAGTGAAGAGATTTGGGGAAAGGTTGAGTGGCTTGATGCTGTGCTCACGGTCCCTGAATCTTATGAATTCGTGTGTGCTCTTGCTGCTACTGTTTGATGTATTGACATACAGAGAAGGTTTGAGTGAGTGATGTATGTATACGATTAGTTTGGTTTTCATCGGCTGTGAAAGTAGGAGATTATCTTCTTCTTTTTTTGTCATAAGAGATTACCCTTTTTTGGTACTGTTTTTGTTTATTAGGAAGGCCTCTCTTTTCGTATTATGAGAAAAACTGTATAACAAAGAAGGAATGCCAGTTATCATATTCTTCAATCGTAGATGTATATGTTTTTGGTGTATTACGCATTCTAAGCCCCGTAGATGGATTAATTGTTAGTAGATTGTACGCTCTAAACAGCCGTAGATGGTAGATCTGATTTACTACCTAATTTATCCAATTTTGATATTACTATTCCAAACATTTTTTGAAGGTAAAAATATTTTTCATATATTCACATGCTACTCTATTTCATATTGTATATTTTTCCTCAATTTTTTTACCTTGTAAATTTTTTACTTTGAATTTTTATATACAAAAAGGGTAGTGAGGTCCAAAAGTGCCAAAATTTTATTTTATTCTAAGGGGACAATAGTTGTGTTTTTTGGTCCCCTTTTGGCAAATTTCCCTATAATTTATGTTACTCGAAACAAACTTCCATGTAATATCATGTCCAATGTTTTTTTTTTTAATACTCCTTCCGTTTCAGAATAATTGTCATTCTAAACTTATTTTTTTGTCACAAATTAAGTGTCGTTTTAGAGTTTCGAGGAAAAATTTATTAGTTTTATATAATATTCTACTTTTTTATTGATTGAAAAGTGGTTAGGTGTATAGGTAATTGTGTTTTTATCTTGAAAATATGTAAAATTAAATGTTTTATTAATCTGTGTGTAAAAACCTAGAATAACAGCTAAAATGAAACGGAGGGAGTATTGGATAATTATGCATTACAAACTATGAGAAATTACATAGACGATATTACAGCCGACAATTCTATCTGTCTTATGTGGATTCAAGTCTGACTGCATCACCTTGAGCCGCCCTCCGAGATCCAGTCTTGACGGTACGCCTTGCGCCATGCTAAAGATCTCTTGTAAACTTTTTCTCCAATCTGCATAATACGCCATTCACCTTTTCTGGGAATTGAAACCCTCCTAGTGTAGAAACTGTGTAGCCTGGGATTTGAACCCCAGATCTGGTGTAGAAACCCTTAAACCTTAACCACTAGGATACGGTGCTTCCATAAATTGTAACATTGTCCCTTTATGCTAATCTCTATTACTTTATGTCCCATTAGGCTAAATATTTTATAAATGTAATAGTGCCCCAAAATTCAATTAAAAATCGTAAAAAAATTAAAATAAGAATCCTTAAATCGCAAAAAATCAAGAAGGAAAAATGCTCTATCCGACGGGATCGATCGATCCTAGAAACAGTCGGTCGATCCGTCCGGCGTGAGTTCCCAAATCAATTTTTTATATTTTACTTTTCTAAAAAAAAAATTGATTTTTTTTTAATTTTTAATCAAAAATCGATTTTATTTATGGAAATTGAATATTTTCAAATATTTTCTTCCTATATTTGCGGAACAGAATATTTTTATCAGTAGAATGTGTATTTTACTATATGTATAATACAATAATAATGTTTAAAATCAGGTTCTACAGGTTTGATTTATAATAATGTGTAGATTCTGATTTCTACTTATTTTAGATTTTATAGCAATGAGTAGAATCCGTTTTCTACTGATTTTAGAAGGATATTTTAAACGCGGAATCTGTATTCTCAACATAGTAGATTCACTTGAAGCTAATAAAAGCGAGGACGGGAAATGTAAGACGGCAGACACAACGTTGGCCTACCAAAAACTAACCGGTAACGGTTTAAAGAACAATGGTTTAATCTTTATCGGATATCTGGTTATCGGTAACCAAGGAAAGATTCAGACATCAGGGTCTTGTCTTTACTCATCCTCCATTAGAATTGATGTCTCATGTTCTTGGGATCCAAGATATAACGGTCTTTTCTTCTATGAGACGACATCTATATCCCCGTTATCTAGGTTTAGAGTCTTTATCCTCGACGTGAAGAAGCTACGAGACATGAAACCTGAAAGACTTTGCGGTATAGACAGACATCTACAATGGTATCCTCATACGTTTCATCAAGGGCTCAAAGGCTTATCTCGGCCAGAGAGAGGACTCAGTGGTCATTGACTTTAACTATTACCGAGCTGATGATGCGTTGACCCCGAGGTTAAACCAAGATGTGATGGATGAGATGGAGCAGATGGCGTTTTTTAAATACGGGGCTAAGCCGAATTGGGGGAAGAAAAGGAAATGAGGTTTCTTTGGCGTGAAGCAAAAGTATGGATCTAACTTTGATAAGTTCTTGGAAGTGCAGAATATGTTAGATCCTAAGAAGATGTTCTCTAGTGAATGGTCAGATGAGATTCTTTTTGGAAGAGAAGTGTAAATCCCCGACCGCCCACGGCTAAGGGGCCACCAACGGCCGGTCCGTTAATTTTTTCAAGGCTCTAGAGTCATGTTTACTGACCCTGCAATCACCACATGACCTTTCCCCGTGCTTTGGCATCACTTACACGGTATTGCAAATAACTTCCCGATAGGTCACCCATCCTTTGACTACTCCAGCTCAAGCACGCTTAACTTTGGAGTTCTCTCTGGATGTGCTCGCAAAAAGATAAGTGCACTTTGGTGACATAGGTAGTCAAATCAATTCTCTTAAGCCTTTCCATATATCACAACTCGGAATGTTACAATTCACCCCCTCTCAAAGAACGCAACGTCCTCGTTGCGTCTCACGACAGGTCTCAAGACGCCTCTCAGGTTAGAACTGAGATGGCTAACCAGCTCTGACACCACTTGTAACGCCCCGACCGTCCACGGCTAATGGGCCACCCACACTCGCTCTCTCAGCCCATGGGCCCCATCCCGTTCCAACGGCCGGTCCGTTAATTTTCTAAGGCTCTAGAGTCATGTTTACTGACCCTGCAATCACCACCCGACCTTTCCCCGTGCTTTGGCCTCACTTACACGGTATCGCAAATCACTTCCCAATAGGTCACCCATCCTTTGACTACTCGAGCTCAAGCACGCTTAACTCTGGAGTTCTCTCTGGATGTGCTCGCGAAAAGGTAAGTGCACTTTTGTGACATAGGTAGTCAAATCAATTTTTTAAGCCTTTCCATGTATCACAACTCGGGATGTTACAAGAAGGTCCTAAGTATGATGGATGTGGACTTGAAGGGAATTGTGTTTGTTCAGAAGATAGGCATTGTAGCCCTACTAAAGGTTACTTTTGTAGACAAGGTCTTGTTTATACACAAGCTAGGGTTTGCAGATTCTCCTCAACTCAAGTTTCAGTGGCTTAACTAAATTTCTTTTGTTGGTAATAAGAATAAAAATTTGTTTTCCATCATGAGTGTATTTGGACTCCTCCAAGATCATTAATAAAATAAATATATAATTGTTACTAGGATTTATTGGATATACACATTCGATCTGGAATACATGGTATAATATGATTCATGACTTGTACAAAACATCAAACACAATGAAGGTATTCATTCACCAACAAAGGATAAAGAACGAAAGACCAGGTCTATGAATATGCACACACGCTGAATGTTTTATCCAAGTATATGCCATAACAAACAAACATATTGAGAAGAGATGTGCTCAAAGATCCAAGAACTGGTGTCTGGCTTATTCTTGATTTCACTATTAAAAGGAAGGAAGATTCACTTTTACATTTACTGTTTCCTGCCTGGCTTATTCTTGACTAGTATTATGGCCCATGCTATGCATAGGCAAAATAATTGTTAAAATTATTCATACAAAAAGGATTGTTTAAAGTGTATCATTATAATTTAATTTTAGTGGAGTAAAAACATAAATTTGATTTTTAAGTAAAAGTGTTTTTAAAATTTATTGGTAATTCATATATATGGTAATATTGAAGTTCGATGAAAACTTGGAGATCAAACTAAAACCTGAAAACTTACAAAATTTATTATAATTGTATATAGAAGATCAAATACAGTAAAAAATTGCAAATTTTATAATGGATCTAACAACGTAAAATACCGTATATGAGAATATATATATGCTTTAGTTTGACATGTACTCCTGGATTGAAATAAAAGCTTTTATTAATAATATACTCAAATGCTTACAATATGATTTTACCAAAAAAAAAATTCTTACAATGTGGATATGTGAATGTAATTTACATCAAAATCATGCAAAAATATTATTTGATGAATCATTCTCAAAAAAAAAAAAAAATCAAATTAAGTATTCTTGCACCCTCAACAATAATGATATAATGAACGTTCGGCAAGTAATTTTAGATAACTATGGATCTTAAATTTAGCAAAGAAAAATAGATTAAAAGTGATTACCTTCTATGGTTGTATCACCCAAACACCTTCTATGGTTGTTTCACCAAAACGTTGATCAAATAACACAGTCAAGAGGGGGAGGGAGTGTAGATATTTGATTGCGATAATAGTAAGACCTTGGAGATATCGGCATTTTTTATTGGCATTTTCTTCCGAAGGTTTCTTGCAACTCAGAGTTATCTTTTATAAGGAAAACAATTGGAGATAGTGAAAGATTATTAAGATGAAATTGATAACGGTTTTGCTATACAATCTAAGTTAGTGGAAATAAAATAATGGACGTGGTGAAACATAAAAGCAGTTGTATATTCAATTAGTTAAAGAATTTTGAAAAAGAAATATAAAAACTTTTTTTTTTTGGAAAGACACACATCACTCCTATAATTGTCAATTAACTTCTGCTTTATATAATAAAATATTTCAATAGAAATGGTGTCTATTTAATTGTAATCCTCCTCCTCTCACCATCTGTTTCACATTGAGTTAAAAAACACATGTCTTGTTGGAACTGGACACTAAATATTCTAAATCAGAGACTTATTTAAACTAGGGGTGGGACGGATCAGATATCCGAGATATTTTAGGATATCCGGATTCGGCGGATCCGTAAAATTACTATGTGGATCCGGATCTGGGGTCCGAATATCCGGACTAAAACTCGGATATTCGGATCCGTTTTGTTTAAAAAAAATATTAAAAAAATTCAAAATTTAGGATTTATTTATTCTATTAAAAAATTATTTTGCAAAAATTTAAATTAAAATAAGAGAATTTACCAACAAAATTAAGTATTAATTATATTTAATAAAAATATATAATATACCTATATAAATATAATTATATTTTAAATATTTAGTGGACTCGGATCCGAATCCGGATATCTGGACTGAAAATTTCACTATCTGTTCGGATCCGGATTCGCTGGATCCGTGAAATCACTATCCGGATTCGGACCCCCGGATATCCGTTTTTTTAGCGGATCGGAGCGGATCTCAGATCGGATAGCGGATATAAGTCCCAGCCCTAATTTAAACTCTGTTATAGTAAACTAAACTTGAAAATAACTCATTTCTAACTATTATGACTGCAGATGACACAAGAAAATTAACAGTCTTAGCAACTTACAGGTACATGTCTCGTCCACTTTTGTATTATCTCTAGGCATTTTCTGTAACTGGATGAACCAGCTGCTAAGTCTGCTCCTTAAACAAACTTGTTTTTTTCTTGTAGGTTGAGCGTTTTCGAACCTTGAGACTTTCACCAGTTAACATGTAAACATTGCCATGTTCAGCAATGGTGAAATCAGCAGGGTTTCTATTCACGCTGCACACAATGGGTCCACAACTGTTCTTTTGAAGCCACGTGGAGGCATTACTACACCTCTCTGCTTTTCTGTTCTGTTTCTTCTCTTTATCCATCATGTGAAACTTCAAAGGGAGCTTCATGGAATCAGATGCCCCTAGTAGCTGGAATCTCCCTTGGTCATTACTGCTAGTGTCTTTTCTCTTGCTTTTCTTCTCTTGATGATGATGAATCCATGAAGGTTGTGTATTTTGAAATGAGAATGAAGACGTGCCAATGGGGAAACTCTTGTTGTAATAATCATACGGAAACTGGTTCTTGGTTTGGTAGGCTGCTGTCTTACTAGAGTCTCCTGTTTGAATCTCTATACGTTCCTTGGGAAGCTGGCTAACATGTGGAAAGTGTCTTTTAGTAGTAGCTTTAGTGTTACCCTGGTGATGGTCAGAGGGGTTTGGTCCAACACGAGGATCCATAAGGCTGAGTAAATGCAATGCAGGTATAGAGCTCTCACTATTATTAACTCCACCACCATGTTTGCACCCAAACGAGAACTCTGAGCTAGACCCACATTTTTGCTTCCCGTTAGCGGCAACAGAGTTGAGGTTCCATGCACTCTCATTGCTTGGTGGTGCTTGTGAAAGCATACCAAGCTTCGTTGATGGATCCATGTTGAAAGAAACTGGTGTATGATGATGACATTGTGGTTGTGGTGGTCTCATAGAAGATGCCCAAATTGGATGAGAAGGTGCTTGTGGAACACTCTGGCATGTATTACACGCGCGTAATACACGATATGGAGGCTGTATAGACATAGTTGGAACATTACCAAGCCACTGGCATGTTTGACCAGAAAACCGGTTATCTTGAGTAGTAGGAGGAGGAAAGATCCCAAACGGAGAAGGTACAAAGGGTTGACTTATACTTATAGGGAAGAAGTCAAGAGACTTGTGCTGTTTTCCAGTCACAAAATGTTGTTCCTCTCTCCTTGCATTGCTATCACAAGGTTTTGATGTGTTGTTGTTATCCTCCAGGGAGGCTCCATTATCATAGGTTTCATTGAGATCGATCAGTAGAGTGTTCTTGGGTTTGTGTGTTGTTGTTTCTTGTGATGGATGTTTGTCGTCTTCTTTGTCGGGAAGGCACCTTTCGTATTGGTTTTTGGCTAAGAGCTCGACTATCTCCATGGGAATATCGTCGTTTTGGTCTTCAGGTGTATTATTCTCCTTTCTATCATGGCTTTGGCTTTTGTTGGTTGTTGCTACATGATGATGTTCTTGGAACATAACTGTCTTCCCCTTTCTGTCAGCATCCTGCTTGGAATAAACAAACAAAATAAGTGCTCAAATGTAACACAGAGAGCTTTACCTAAAAAATTATGTAAAGAACAAGAACGAGTTTTACCTTTTGTATCAAAAAAGATCGATCTGCAACTTCAGAGGTGTTTCTTAGATTGAAGTTCTGAAAAGACAATCTATCTGTATTGTTGTTGCTGCTGAAGTCAACAGCAGCATCTACTCCTGTTCTCAACCATCCAACTGTGTTGGATTTGGAAGAGGAACCAAACTCTCCAAGACTGTTTGCTTCTACATCTCTTGACCTCACATGATCATTATTC